GAACCGCTTCCTTGAGCATTGACAACTCCATCTATAGAAAACTTCCATGTGGGGAGATCAAACACTAGCTGCGTTGCTTCTATTGGCGCTGGCGTTGTGAATTCCGCGATGAAATTTGCCAGAATTTGCCCCTTGACTGCAGTTCTGTGCTTGAACCTGATGTCGAACTCACTGAGCTCTATGACCCATTTTATCAACCTCCCCGAAGATTCTGGCTTATGCAACACTTGCTTCATCGGCTATTTTGTTGGGACCTCGATAGTATGAACCTGGAAATATGGTTTAAGTCTCCTAGCCGTAGTTACCAAAGCTAAAGCAAGCTTTTCTATTTTTGGGTACCTTTTTTCTGCCCCCCTAAGAGCTCTGTTATAGTAATAGACTGGTTGCTGAGACCTGTCTCACTCCTCACTAGAGCTGCACTAGTCGAGAAATCTGAAACAACTAGATAGAGGGTTAGTACTTCCCCTTGCAAGGGGCTTACCAGAACGGGAGGGGAGCTCAGGTAGGCTTTCAGGGCGTTGAATGCTTCTTCACACCGAATATCCCACTAGAACGCTTTCTTTAAGATTTGAAAGAAAGGCTGACACTTGTTACTCGATCTAGAGACAAAACGATTTAAGGCAGTTATTCTTCCTGTCAGGCGCTGGACCTCCCTCACATTAAACGGTGGTTACATATCCAGGACTGCCTTAACCTTTTCGGGGTTAGCCTCAATCCCTTTACTGTTGACTATGAAGCCCAGAAACTTCCATGCGGACACTCTGAAGGCACATTTCGCAAGGTTGAGTTTCATCTTGTATTCCCCAAAGCCCTGGAACGATTCTGCAAGAGACGCAATGCAGAGCTCCGCTTTCAGCGATTTTACCAACATATCGTCGATATAGACCTCCATGGTCGTCCCAATTTTCCTCTGGAACATTCGATTCACTAGATGCTGGTAGGTGGCTCCTGCGTTTTTTAACTCGAAAGGCATAACCTGATAACAATACATTCCCTGCTTAGTTACAGATGAGGTCTTCTCCTGGTCGACTGGATCCATCCTAATTTGATTATATTTTGAGAAAGCGTCCATGAAGCTGAGGAGCTCATGTCCAGCTGTGGCATCCATTATTAGGTTGATCCAAGGTAAGGGAAAACTGTCCTTGGAGCATGCTCGGTTGAGGTTTGTGAAGTCAATGTAGAGTCGCCACTTGCCATTGACTTTTTTGACAAGAACCACATTGGCTAACCAGGTAGGGTAGTCTACTTCCTTGATGCCTTTGGCACAGAGAAGCTTGCTGACTTCCTCATTGATTGCCTTTTGGCACTTTGGGGCAAAACTTATTCGTTTCTACTTAATAGGTTTGTAGGTGGGATTCACACTTATCTTATGTGTGATAATCAAAGGGTCAATCCCTTCCATGTCCTCCTGTTTCTAGGCAAATACCCTCATGTTGTCCTTTAGGAATTGGATGAGAAGATCTTTTACCTCCCTGCTTAGTTTGGATCCGACGTAAACGGGGTGCTCTGGCTCCTCATCAAGCTGAACAGGTTCTAGTTCCTCTGTTGGCGTTGGCCTAGTGTCTTGTTTGTCCGTCATATCAAGCTCACCTAACTGGACATTTTTGACTTCTTTCTGCTTCACCAAGGTCATGTAGCACTCCCTTGCTACACCCTGGTCTCCTTGGACCACTCCAACTCCGTTCTCCGTTAGAAACTCCATTACCAGGTGATAGACTGAGGGGATTGCCTTCATTGCATTGAGGGAGGGTCTTCCGAGCAGCATATTGTATGCAGAAGGGGCATCAACCACCAAGAATCTTATTGTAGTGGTGCCCTAGCAAAGTGGGTCTCCCATATTAAGGACTAGCTAGATTGAGCCCAGGGGCAATATCCTCTTTCCTGCGAACCCAAGTAGATGAGTGTAGATTGGTTCCAACTTTTTCCTACCTATGCCCATTTTGTCAAATGTAGAAGCAAATGATGTCTACCGAGCTCCCATTGTCAATTAGAACTTGGTGAACAGTTCTATTAGCCATAACAACTTTTACCACCAGAGGGTCATCATGGGGGTATTAGCAGCCTTCTAAGTTTGAGTCTGAAAAGGTGATGACTATGCTCAGCCGAGGTGCCTTGGACACAGTGTGCACTTCTAGTGCTTTGCCAGTTCTGATTCTGTGCAGGTGAGCCTTATTGGCTGAACTGAACTCTCCACCCCTTGCGAATCCCCCTCTGATTTCCCCTAGGGGTTGCTGTGTTGCACAAGAGCTTGTTGCTGAGGTAGTGGAAGTGGTGGAGTACGGTTCTGATTATCTTGAGCTACGTAGCGACACAACTGCCCCTATTGAATCAGAAACTCGATCTCTTTCTTTAATTGGATGCAATCATCAGTGTGGTGACCATAATCTCTATGGTACTCGCAATACTTTGTGGAATCTCTTTTGTTGGGTCTGCTTTCATTTGGGGTGGCCACCTTAGAAATTTCTCATTCTGCACCTCATACAAGATCTGTGATATTGTTGCAGTGAAAGTAGGGAGCTGTCGAGGTGCCTATCTCGGCTGCAACTCCGACTGCAGTAGTCCTAGGTGATCTTTGACTTCTCCCCTTCTCTTGGGGGAGCGATCTCTGTCTTTTCTTGGAGATATATCTCGTCTTCTTTCTCTTCTGGGACTTTGGTTCCTCTTCCTCTCTTCTTTTCCTTTGTCTTTTTGCATGGATGAGCTCCCCACCTTTGAGAGGAGTTCTTCCTCCCCGTTTATGTATTTTTCTGCCTTGGCCAACACCTCAGCCATACTGGCATACTGGCATGAGGATTCTTTGAAATAGAGAACATCAGATCTTTGGACTACATAAATGCGGTGATTGCAAACTTTTCACCAAGGACATCTACTTTTAGTAACTCCGAATTGAACCTCTGGACATAAGACCTGAGGTTCTCTTGGGGTCCTTGCTTCATGTTCAGTAAGTGGTAGCTCGACTTTTGATATGTCCGAGCTCCTATGAAATGAGATACAAAGGATATAGAAAGCTCCTTAAAAGAAGAGATCGAAGCGGGGGGGAGCCTATTGAACCACGCTAGGGCTGATCCCTTCAATGTGATAGCAAAGGCTCTGCAGAGCACAGGATCTTGATATCCATGCAATTCCATTTGGTTCTTGTAAGTATTGAGGTAATCCACAGGTTTTTTGTCCCGTTAAAAACTTTTATCTACGACATTCTAAATTTTGGGGGGAGGGAAAAATGTAGCACGCCAGTAGTGAAAGGGGACTCAGTCTGTTGCACTAGGGCATCCATTGTTACTAGAGCTTTGCTCTTCACAGCTTCTTTCATGTAGCTGAGCTCTTGCTGGATGTCTTTGAAGCGCTGCTCCTAGTATTGTTCTCTCCTCTCCTGCTGGTAAGGGAAAAAGTCATTCCTCTCACCCCTATCATTTTGACTTTGCACTTCTTCATTATGTCCATTTCTAGGAGGTCGATAGAGAGCCTGTCCTAAGGTCTAGCTATTTTCCCCTCCCTCATTAACTTCTCTGAGGTGATCGAGGTGTTGCTGTTCTCTGTAAGATAGGTTATTCTGGCCTTCTTGGGCCGGTCGTGCCTCTTGAGGGCGTTGTAGGAGCTTCAAAAGCTCCTCGTTCTTCTATAATAGATGCTGATTAGCTAGGCGAAGGGCCTCCAACTCGTTATTCGCAGGGGGATCCCCCACGGAAGGATTTTCCCTTATGACGTTCTTGGGTAGTCTGCCGGTGATAGTTTCCTGTTGATCCTACATTCGTGGTAGATTGGTTTGGCTTCTGCTCATGTTACGAGTTGAAACCATCAGTTACTAAAAGATCAGCGTAATTGTAATAGGAACAATCGTTCTCACAGACGGCACCAAACTGATGGTGTGAACCAGCGTAGACGAGCAGAGAGAATGTATGGTTTCCGATAACCTAGAGCTAAGCTACAAGGCTCATGAAAACTGAGTAGAAATTATTGGGGAATTGGGGGAGATTGCACAATGATGTTATAGTGGTTCACCGGCCTAGGAGCTCGGCTAGTCCACTCTTGAATGAATTTTCTTATTTCTCTTCTTTCAGAAATGGGGAATGTGGTTTTTTTTCTACCTCTGGTCTTCCTAGGGTTATGTATATCTTTTACTAGAGGCATCATACAATATTTATAGAGAAGCTCCTAGTTCGGTGGGATTTGCCCCGAAATCCATGCCATTTATTCGGGGGATCCTCCTTGATTTTTGGGAGAGGATCTTGGCTATTTTGGGCTTATTTGCCTTGGATACGATTCTTTGCCGCCTGTAGGATTTCTGCTAATATCCAGCTGTCCTCTCTGCTTTTCCGCTATTGCCTTGCTTGGGGGAGCTCTAGTTCTGACCCTCTGAGCTCTACGTGACCTATCTGGCCTCTTTGCTTGATCTCATACTTAGAAGTTTTTTTTTTTTTTTTCACGATATCATCATTGTTAAATCAAGATTCGTATCGTGAATCAGAATATTAAATTTGTGAATCGTGAATCGTAAGATTCAACACAAAATTCAAACAAAGATAAAAAAAAAAAAACATCTATAAGTTAAAATAAGCAATGTATTGAATTTTGAGTACTATTGTATTGTAAAAATAATCAATTAACATAATCACGTCGTCTAAATGGAAAGACGCTAGCCTTTATGGATAGAAAATGTGGATTCGAATCCTACCGTGATTGATTTTTATATATTATTTGCAATTTGCAAGCCAACTACAATATAAAAAAAAAGCATATATCAAGAGAATAGGTATCTATCATTGATTCATTATAATTATATACTTCAATTAAAAGTCAAGTTATGGACCAATCACCTATGGTCCCAAAAAATGAGGGGTGCATACAACAAAAAGTCAAGTTCTAAGATTCATCAAAAAAATAGTAGTCAATTTCTTCAATCTTCATTATCTACAAGGTCAAGATCTTCATCATCATCATCTTCTTCTACTTCAACCATCTCTGTTTCGTCATCTTCTTTNAAAAAATAGTAGTCAATTTCTTCAATCTTCATTATCTACAAGGTCAAGATCTTTATCATCATCATCTTCTTCTACTTCAACTATCTCTGTTTCCTCATCTTCTTCCATTTTTTCATCATCAACCACTTCAATATCATCATCTTCATTATCGTCTATCTCAACATCTTTAGCTTTGCCTTTTTTAATAGCATTTAAATTCCTTGGTCCTACAAATAATAATTGGTAAATGACTAAATGGCAAACAATATATTATTATATAAATATAAATATAAATATATAATAAACAATAAAGATTAAAGAATACCTCTTTTTCTTTTTTTGCTAGAAGATGCACTTTCACCAAGTTGAAAACATTCATGAACATCCATCCATGAGTTGTCTTATGGTAGACATGTATCTTCACTCTCAGTAATCCATTCATCATCGGATTCCATATTCGATAGAAAAATGGGATTATATGTCTCATTCTTTTCTTGTCTTTTCAATTGTCTCATTTCAAGGTGAATGTTGTACTTCACATAAATGAGAGTATTTAATCTTTGTTGCTCCAAGCGATTCCTTTTCTTGGAATGTACATGATCAAAAGCACTCCAATTTCTCTCACATCCCGTGGCGCTACACGTGAGACTTAATACCCTTATAGCCAATCTTTGGAGTTTTTTGCAATCATCTCCATAACTTTCTCACCACAAAGCTATAAAAAACAAAGATTTAAACTAAAATATTTAAACAAGATACCTATATAGGTTAGTTTATATATAATGTAAAAGTAAAAGTAAAACTATGTTCTTTAATTCTTACCGGGTTGTTTCTTGTTTCTTGTCTCTTGTTAATATGGCCATGCTCATAGAAAATAAACCGTCAGCCTTCTTGAACTTCTCTAGTTGCTCATCAATAGAGATTCTTGTTTCAATATTTGGGTACATTCTCTCAATGGTTCTATACAAGCCAACTTTTACTTCCTTATCAACATTAAAATTTGAATCATATTGGAACCTAAAAAGAAGTTACTTGGGATTAAAATTTGGATCTCAATTTATATATGAGTAAATGTAAATAGGAAGTGTTTTTTGTGAACTTACTTGGGATTAAGAAAGTACCCCGCCGCATGAAGTGGCCTATGAAGTTGCATGTTCCACCTATTATCAATAATCTTCCAAATTTTTTCATACCTTTTTTCCTCTCGTTTGAAATTTTGGACAATTTGTTCCTTAGCCCTATTCATGGCTTCATATATATATATATATCCCATGGCCAGTTTAGCATCACCATCAACTAACTTCAACATTTTAACAATTGGAATCACAGATTTTAAGCAATACTTGATTGCTTTCCAAAATTTTTGATCATACAAATTATGCTTTTCACTTTTTTAGCATCAATCTTTGAAGCAAAAGGCCCATTAGCCTAGTCTTCTGATGAAAACATACGTCGAAGACAAGCCTTTCTATCATCAAAACTTTTTAAGGTGAGAAATGCAATGGCAAATCTTTTAACCGTCGGTCGTGTAAGTTCCATGTGTTCGAAAACTCTGTAAATTTACTAAGCACCCAACAATACCTATAAATGAAAAGTGTAATTTCTTTGGCTTTTGAAATGGTGTCACGAAAAATTGAAAAATCACCAAAATCACTCAACATTAAATCAATGCAATGAGCGGAACAAGGAGACCAAAACAACTTCTTTCTCTTATCCTCCAACAACCTACCGACAACTACATAAGTCGAAGCACTATCCATCACCACTTGAACAACGTTCTCCTCTCCAATCTCCTCCACCATTGAGTCAAGTAACTCGAACAACTTATTAGCATCCTTTTTAACTCCGGAAGTATCCACCGATTTAAGAAACACCATTCCACTAGGGCTATTAACAAGAAAGTTTGTTAGTGAACATTGTTTCCCATCGGTCCATTCATCTGACATCACAGTACACCCACTTTTCTTCCATTCCATTTTATATTTATCCAAACTCACCTTCACATTTTCCACTTCTTTCTTCAAACAAGTACCTCTAACCTCATGATAGCTAGAGAGTTTTAATCCCTTGCCATACTCACCGGCCGATTTCATCATTTTATCCAACAATGGGCTTTTAAATAAATTGAAAACTAGTGCATGTCCATAGAAAAAACGACATGTCTTGAACCACCGGTTCTCTTTTCTTTATCAATTCATTTAATGTTTGTTGTCTTCCTCTAACACCTTTCCCCTTGCCTTTAATCACAAAAGCATCTATGTTTCGGGTCCCCATCCCCCTTTCAACATCCTCTATGAAACATTCATTAAGATCCTCATTTTTTCCTTTCGTACCTTCCAACATTTGGGGGAATTTTTATGTAACATCCAGTGGACTTTGGGTACATGGTGCTACATCAAGACGAGTCCCCGCAAAATGATGTTTCATTCTACTCACACCACCCCATTTGTCAAGGCCACAATAATTGCACTTCAAGTGCATTCTATTATCATCCACACAAGAACAATGATCCCATGTCGGATGTTCATTCTTTTTTGGCTTCGCTTTTATATTCTTCATCACCATTTTCAACTTCAAGTCTTCAACAACAACAACTGAGAAGGGAAAAAAAAAATAATAGAGCATATAGCAATACAGCCCACAACAACAACGAAAAAATTCTCTAAGACACAACAACGAAAAAAACAGAGCATTGCTAATTAAAAAAAAGTGTAATAGCAATATAGTATCATTTGAAGTTTGAAACCCACTATTATATAGTTATAACTAAGTAATCCTCTATCAATAGGCCACAACAACGAAAAAAAAATAAATAAATAAGAAATTGCAGTACAACAATGAAAAAACAGAGCTTTGCCTATGTGAAAACCGAAGCATCATTTAAAGTTTCAAACCCACATTCACATTGTTTATCTACACAAACCCACAGTCATAATTACAAAATCCTCCACCCAAAGGCCACAACAACGAAAAAAAAATAAAAATTAAGAAACTACAACAATAAAAAAATAGAGCATAGCTTACGATTCGGTTTAGTTCGTACGATTCGTGCGTTTCGGCTCCGATTCCAGACCCAAAACTTTTCCACCATAAGATTCAACTCGATTTGTCTATGAATCGAACTAAATTGTACGATTCGACTCGCGAATCGGACGATTTGAACAACTATGACCATAAGTATAATGACTTCTGCCCAAAACATGTTTTATTTTAATTATAATGACTTGACCTAATCTGTTACTTAAAACACTGAAATGCCTTATTTTCCATCCCTTGCCGAGGGTGGAGAATCAAGAAATGGAAATTGTAACTTTTTGAGATAGTTTGGATGAAAAGATTTAAGTGATATTATCTCGAGATGTTCTATGTTTAAGTCTTATACACGTGGTTTGAATGCAATTGTAGGTGCGGTGAATTATAAAATGGAAGAAATACACTCAAATTTTTTGACATTTGTCACTCAATCACTCAAATTTTTTGGCATTTGTCACTTAATCATTCAGATCTTCTAACCTTTAAAATATTATACATAGACTTTTTAAAGTTTGTGTACGCATAACCTTGACACCCTACCGTCAATGTCTGTTAATATATTTGTTTGTAAATTATATTCAGACTCTCTAAAATTTATAGGCTTGTAATATTAAACCCCTAAAGTTTACAATATTATACTTAGACAAAAAATATTTTAATAAAAAATAGAGCATTAAATATTTTAAATTGTACAACNTTTACAATATTATACTTAGACAAAAAATATTTTAATAAAAAATAGAGCATTAAATATTTTAAATTTTACAATAAAAATTCATGTTTTATTATGATATTTACCGAAACAAAATTAAAAATAAAAATCTAAAAATTGGAAATCTCCTGGTTGTACGGTGAAAAGGAAAGATGTCATATCCTACACAAATGGGCACATATAACACAACTAAACATGATATAATTTTACTAAACACAACTTATACATCTTTTAAACTCGAAATGACACGAACTTTGTATACAATAACATATAACCAATTGGGTTTAATAAGTATGAGTTCAACAAATTTTAGTATGACATGACTTACACAATATAAACCTCATACGACACAATTTATTAGTATAATATGATTTAGACAATGTAAACCCAATATGATTATATATAATCAACCACGTTTACTCTTCTTTTTCTTATTGCACTACATAATCACATAACGGATCGACCACTTCTGGAATTTGTCTTGTATAAATTGGACCCAAAAAAGGAGCCTATGATGATCTTCCCACCTTTGATTACAGGTGAGAAATTGAACCTAGACAAAAAAAAAAAAAAAGAAAAAACAAAGAAAGTTATTTGGTGGACCCAGATTTCTGGTTCCAGTGGTTTTAATAACTTTCCTTATCTTCTAATTTTAGCTTTTACTAATCTTTTGAGTTTTGTCTTCCCATAATATTATTTAGATCTAATTTATTGACATAATTTATTAACCTAATAAATTACAATAATTAGATTGATAGAGTATTCTAAAGAATACTATCACCCACTGTCAAATAAAAAATTAGATTAATAAAATAAGTCTAAATAATTCTTCTCTTTGTCATAGGAATAGGAAATCAAAATGGCCTAACGTCTTTTGTAATATATATTTTTCTCTATTTCTTTAGTGAATCATTTGTACGAAAATCAGGTCGGACATATTGCATGTAAGTGAATTTTTCACTAATGCTCTTATTGATAGGAAAAATGAAAAATGGAAAGGATAAAAAGTAAGAGGGATACACTTTCTATTCTTCAAGGATGAAAAGTAGGAATGATACATTTTTCTTCCTTTTTGTTTGGTTGGATGGATGAAAAATAAAAATGACTAAATTTTTTTTTGTGCCGATTAAGATTAGAGGTGACAATCGACTCGTATCTTATCAGATTCGTATTGAGTCATAAAATTATGAGTTTTTTATATTTTTTGTTTGCGTGTCAGATTATTTTTAAGTTCGTATCATAAAATTCGTGTCGAGTTCGAGTTGTGTCATCGTGGTGAGTTGAAAATTTTCACCCCTAGTTAAGATTAATTTTTTTTAATTTAAATTTTTATTTTTAAAAATTTTAAACTTTATATATATGTGTGTGTGTGTAAATATATATTTTATCATTTTATTTTTATATGAAATTAATGTATACATAATATATAGACAAATAAAATACATCTTAATACAAATAATTAACTTTCCATCTAATTTCCTT